AGTAAATAAAACAAAGATTTAAATCGCTTAATTCTTTATCACAAATTATTTTGGAATTTAAAAAATTTTTCAATTGAATTTTGATATTCTATTTTAATTCAACATAACTATTATTTCTGTAGCATTTTTGAGAATATATATTCTTTGTGTATTCTTTCCTTATATATAAAATGTAAGATTCCCTTTCTTATCTATAAGATATATGAGTATTGGACATAGATAGCTTCTAATTAAATTAGATGTTGTGGCTTACATCATTCTTCATTTCTAAGTTGCTGAGTGAATTCCAGAGCCAACTAAAATAGTCATGAAAAAATATTGACAAAATACAAAATTCCATGAAATAGATATAATAATTGTGCTGAAGGTTTATAGAACAAAATAATGTAGGTTTACAATCTGATTACAATGTACATACATTGTACACACTACATACAAGCATATAATGCTTGTACTACATACAAGCATATAATGCTTGTATTAGTGTTTTAATAAACAGATGTATTACAGTTATTTTAAAAATGATTAAAACTGATTTGGAACAATCCTATATTGTTTTTCATGATTTAATCATTCTCAGAAGCAACTTAATCACAAATAGCATACAACTGTTACAAAATACAGTGACACCCAGTACTTTGAACACTAAATTCAATAAAAATTTGCTCCAGAGTTAGAACTGCCCATTGAATGAAAAATGCTCAAAGCATAAACAAAATCTCTTGAACTGCTAAGTCATCTTGCTCTTGTGTTTTAGTCTCATATATTTTTAGTGCTTTTTTTTTGCTTTACTTTTGGTGTGTTTGCATATATATATGTATATGTATACATGTATGTGTGTGTGTGTATATATATACACAGTAGAGCATCAATTATCCAAATACCAAGCAAACTGAAACATCGGTTAACCGAAAGCGTTCCAGTCGACAAATTCAAATTTCCGCTAGGGCTGTGGCATTGCAGCACTCTTCCCCTCCCTGCGAAACTGAACTGTAGGCATAGTTTAATGCATTACATTATGTAAGGTATGTAATTGTAAGATGTGATACAAATTATATACAGTATAGTTTTGTGTTTAATATATTTTTTTGTAAATGATCAGTTATCCGAACAACCCCAGTCCTGAATTGTTTTGGATAATTGATGCTCTACTGTATATGCAAACATATGTTTAGATGTTTAGCATATATATATGCTAAACATATTACATTATACATATTCATCTATATATATATACTAGCTGCAAGGACCCGCTTCGCTGGGCAAAAAGTAACAATAGTGAAGATTAAGATAATTACATTATAGCCAATCTTACCCGTTTTCACAGAATGCAAGAATTAGGTCCCCCATTTCCAGACTAATTAGAGAATTTTTACGTTTAGTCAAATGAACTATTTTCAACGTTTACAATCGTTCTATAATCGAACCAATATTCGAATTTTATGTTCAAATTTAATTCGAACAAATTCAAACAAAGCATTCGAAATAGAAAGCCACTTTCAACCACTTTCAGCCTCATATCTCCCGCACCCTTATAGCTATCGAGACGCAACCACCCCTATGCACGAATGGAGGCTTGGGGCTACTACCACATACAAACACCATTTACGTGCGATGTGTAGTTTTGGAGAAAAAGTGAAATATAGGGACATACATGTCCATTTTTATATATATATATATATATATATATATTTTATTTATTTATTTATAGTGTGTTGTTTGTCAATCTTTAACAGCTACCTGTAATTTTTCTTTGACAGCTTTCAGATGTCTTTGCATTTTGTATCCTTCAGTTCAAAATTTATTGAACAGAACTTTTTAAACCACATTTCATTTCAGATTTTCAAAATTTAGAGCATCTTCCCCAAATACATTATGAAGTGTTTTATTGTTTGTGCAGCATTATATCCTTTATGAAACTCGCAAAGCATAATATGCCAAATATATGTTTCATTCAGACATTTTGACTTGATTTTATTCAAACAAAATAGGAATTAAAAAGTTTAAAATAAGATTCTAAACAAAGAATAAATTTCATATTAGTAATAATGTTTTGAATTTTACAACTGTTATAATTAAACTAGGAATCTATGTTAAGTAACTACAGCTGTCAAGAATATGCAAAAGCTCTGTTCAACCCACTGCAATTTACATTTTATTATACAGTACTTACATATTTTATTTAATGTTTTCGTGTTCTAATTCATTATTAGGGGATTTAATTGTTATTTTTACAGTTTCATTATATTTGCTATTTTAAGTTTATTGAAATGAGTATTGTTTAGGCTCTGGGAACAGTTTAATTTGCTTTTTATTATTTCTAATGAGAAAAATTGATTTGGACTTTGAACAGCCTCTTGGAATGAATTAAATTTGAAGTACGAGGCACCACTGTGCAGCAGAACTCAGATTATCCAAGGTAAAAGTTGTCCAATGCCACCTCACATAACTGAAAACTTGGATAAAAAGTATGGAAAAATCCATTTCAGATTCAAAATTACACCTCTTTTATGCCCTAATGAATTTAATCGTATATAAGAACATTGTTTACATTGTTTAATATACAGCTAATATATACAATAGTTTTAAAGAATACAAATGTGTATTATAGTTAATTTTTAATATGAATGATTTGTTTTGCACTGAAATTAACCCAATAAAAGGTAACAGAAACAAATCATTTTGTAATACATGTTATCATTTAAACTTTCTTTTAAGAAGTTTTAAGAAACAGTAACCTATTCATATATTGGTTTGCTTCAGATAATCAGGGTTCTACTAAAATTTTAAACCACAAAACCATCAAATTTTGATCTATCTTTTATATTAAAAAATTGATAAAGTGATATATCATTATTTCATGTAATTCTAAACATGAATAGAAAATAAGTGATATTAGGTCTAATATTTTCGTAACAAAATTAAATCATTAAAATTGATCAGAGTTTTATAATTCAGAAATTTGAAAATTAAGTTGTCTTAAATTTTTGTATATTACAAATTTATTGAAAAATGCTTTTATTTTCAGCTATAGTTATCACTGAATGTTTTCCTAATCAAAACAAGTAAGAATACAAATTTGTTTTATTATTAAATAATTGCATGAGTACAATAAATAGGAATGAGAAAAGTTATAGTAATAATAATATATAATAGTTAACATTTTAAGAGGATTAAAACTAAATACAGATTTTGAGTTTTACATCAATGATTTTTTGATATATTAATCCTTTATGTATATTTAATGAAAATTCCAAATTAATACCAGTATATTTTTGTTTTAAAAAATAATGTTATAAAAATATATGGTATATTTAAATGTAAGATAAGCCATTTATTGTAATTTAAATTTTAAAAATTTTGATTCTTTATGTTTACATGTATATTAATTATAGAATATTAATGTAAGAGGTGGCAGTCTTTGCTCGAGTTTTTTTAGTAATGGGATTGGAAAATATGCAAAAATAAATATTAGCAGGTTTATACAATTGATATTCAAAAATAAATATGTAAATCAGTAGCATTTTCCGACAGTATTTTTTAAGATATAGAAAGTATTATGCATCAGGAAGCTTAAATTACATCCTCATTAAACAGTTCTTTATCTTTAAACCACAGAAAAAAATCTTATCTCAAGAAATTGATACAACTTTCAATTTTAAATAACTTTAATTCCTCTATTCATTAAATTTTGACACATTAACTTCTGAAATTAAATTCTAATTTTTCTATTTATTTTTATTAGTTTAATATTACATAACTATAAGACTGAGTTAAATTTATAATTACGCTGCTATTTTATATTAACATTTTGCTTTGATATTCTCTTTGATGTCCAAAATTTCATAAGAGATGTTTGGATGTGGAAGAATATTTTTAGATCTTATTATCTACATTTATTTTTTGAAATACCTGGTATTTTTTCTTATAATTAAATCATTGGCATTCATTTATAAGAAGATTAGAAAGGAGTGACCAAATAATAGTTCTTTTTAATCAGTGTAAAAATTAAAATTAACATATTTTATTTAATAGCCAGCTACTATTAGATAAAAATACAGTAATGGCTAATGCGGTTAAGTCGTTGGCCTGCCACTCCGATAAACTGCTATCAAATTTAGGAGACTAAACCTAGGATTTTTTGTGGGCGGTCTGTCTCAGATAAGTCAGGCTCCATTTCCCCCATCCCATTGCAATCCTAGTCAAACCCATGATGGATTTGGAAAAAGATCCCGTTAGTGCCCATAAGACAGAAAGAGTTGAAAATTAAAATAAAAATTTCTTTAATTTGTATTAAATGATACCATAAAGTTATGAAAGAACTATAAATGTGATTAAAGGTTTAATCAGATGTTAACTGATAATGCTGTTTTAAGTCATTTGAATGTTCTGAAAGAATGTTTGAGAAGTACAAAAAATAATTAAAGATTCTTAATAATAAAATATAAATTATTTAGGCAATTACTATGATTTTATTAACAATAATCTAATTTAAAAATTTTTTACATTTAAATACTATTCTTTTTAACTTTATATGTAATGGAATTGCATAAGAGCATAAAATAATAATAATTAAATGCACAATATAGGCTACTTAGCATATTATATTAAATTCTATATATAATTATATATTGTAAGATATTAATAAATATTAGAAAAAAAAAGCCTTAAAATAGAATTTAACTCGGTACTCGATATCGTTATTTTGCTAAAAAATATTTAAATTGGGAATAAATATTTCGTATTTTAAATACAAATAACAAATATGTTGATTAATATTAAAGAATCGATATTGCAGAATCATTCCCGAATTACTTTTTATGCTGGATAAATCTAGCAATATTTGGTTCTTTAATTTTAATTTCTAAAACGGCAGTTGAGCAGACATGAATTATCAAATACCAATGGTAGAGATTAAGAAATAATTACAGACGTAATAACATAGTTTTCGATAGTTCGAACATTCAAGTGATAGAATTATTTACAGTTTAGGATATATCACAGAATCTTGAACAGATATTAATGTTATTTTGATTTGTTTACTCGCAATACACTTTCTCGAATTTGTGGTTCTTTTTTCGATGGAAAATAATAATGAGCCCTATCATAAGCGCAATCATCAATAAAATGGCGATGCCGATGCCGACGACTGCGGGCCACCATCTAAACGGCTTGTTGGAATTCGGTTTACGTCCGTAAAAGTTAAAGTTGAAGCTGGCTAATGCCAAATTGTAACCCGGAGAAACGTTGCCATTCTTGTCGATTGCTCTGACAGCAAAATACACCGTCTTATTTGAAGTATTGTTGACCGACGGAAAAAATTCGTCCGGCACCTTTATAACTACGATTTGAAGTGCGCCCGGAGGTAATGGTTCCAGAGTACCGTTGATCACGTGGCTACTGTTATACAAGAAGGACTCATTAAAATTCGAAAGGAGTATTTCCGGATCTAAATCAGATCGAAGTTCTAGCGACGATACTATAAATAAATTAAATTCGTCGTTAATGATTTAAATTGAATACCGGTGAATGCAGAAGTTGGAAATAATTACCTATTCCCTCGTCGAGATTGTCACCCGGAGAAGTCCAGGTTAAAAGCGCGTGTCTTTTTGGATTAGTTCCGAGGACGATTAAATCCGTGATATTTCCGGGAGGGATGTTATCTTTGGATTTTCGTTTCCAGTTCTGAACTCTGAATGCTCCGGTTTCGGATATTCTTTGGAGATGGTCAATGGGTTCTGCATCGATGGTTTCGTCTTTCTTTTCCGTAGTAAAAACGAAATCTTCTAATGGGAAGCTGTTTGTCGGTTCTCCGAGTGATTCTTTTGCTGAAAATTTTAAGATAAGTCTTCAAAATAAAAGTAAACATATTTTTATTTTATGTGATCATAAAACCAAATATTTATCTGAAATAGAACTGTAGAAGATAGTACATAATGATAGAACCAAATTTTTGTAATTACTTACAAAACATTTATTGTTTCAAAACACCAAATTTTTTATAAAGAGCAACCTTTAAGATTTCTTTTTCTATATATTAAATTCATATAAACATAAATTACTCCAAGCATGTGAAAATTCTCATTCTAACATTTTACAATATGAGATAATCAGTGGCGTGCGGAGAGATTTGATGATAGGGAAGCTGTGCCGGCCCTAGATAGAATCATTGGAAGCGTTATACGATATTTTAGTGTGTAGCATCCACCAGCTAAACCGCGTGAGGTTGATGCTCTGTAAAATGCATGCGCGAATGCCTGTAATCTGGCTGCTTTACACCATTCAAATATTTTCGCCGTGGAAGCAATCCCGTATTCGACAATACAGCGCTTCCACTAGGAATATGCACATACGAATTTATATTCGAATATACAATAGCAATCTTATCATTGTTTTACACATGTAGTATAGCAATAAGATACATATTGCGGTTATAATAAAATATTAATTTTAATTAATTCAAAGAACGTTAAAATATGAAAATAATCGCACAATATGTATTTATATTTTAGAAAATACAAAGTGGTGCTTCCACAGCTTTCATGGACGGCACGCCACTGGAGACAATATAGCCTACAGTAAGATCCCGCTTAACACTGTCTCGATTAACGCTGATTCGATATAACGCGATCTGATTGAAGCCTAAAAAACGCTCAAAGTTTACGCTGATTCAAATTATCACTGCATTTCATTGATTCGTATATAATACGATTATTCCCAAAATCGAACCAATCAGCAAAAGGTGATAATTCGTCGTAGGGCTATACTTTCCTTAGATCTATGTTTGTTTTGTGCAATTTTGGAAAAAATATAACATCACGGATGCCATACGAAATATTGACTTCGTTTGGCAAGGATTAACTGATAAATGCGTGAACGGAGTGTGGAAGAAGTTATAGTTGAAGGTATCCAAGAATTGTCAACGGGAAGAGCCTATCGCTGTATCGTTAGGTTGACCATATTGTCAACCTAATCGATACAGCATGACTAGGAGATGTAGACGAGCAGGATATTGAGGAGTTATTGCAGGTTTCTGGTGAGAGCTTACCAACGACCTTCAGAACTGACAAAACAAGGAATTCGTGTATAACTGGAAAATAGAGATTGTGAAAACGAAGAACCCAAAACAATTCTCAACAGATTTCTTTAGTAAAAATTTGGTAACGATAACCGAAATCGTTGATCAAATTGTAGCGAATGATCCGGATTTTGAAAAAAAGTGCAAAAGTAAGACGAGGTGTTTTGGATGCGATTTCTTGGTACCGACATTTGCTTAAAGAAAGGGGAAAAAGTGAGAAATGAAACTACGCGACTTTATTGCAAAAGAACAAGAATTTCAGAAGAACCAGGACCTTCGTCACAAAAAATGAACTTTACATTTGTGTGTGCGTATGTTCATGTGTTATTTGACATATATTATTATGCAACTTAATATAAAAATAACTTAAAATTAATGTAAAATGTGTTTATTTTTTGACAGCGTGTTCCCCTTTCCCTATTTACTCTGTGTTAAAATGACCTCGTTTTACTAATTTTCATTCTGTTAACAGAAATCTCAGAGTCGATACCAGGTTGAAAAGACATCTCTTCGGAATTTTAAGTCCAAAATGAAAGGAAAAATTTTTTTCGTCTGTAAGAACTAAATTATCAATCGTCATTTATTTTTCTTAACTAAAATATTAATTTAGACAGATAATCTTATTTACACATTTCTTCTATCTTCTTCATTACATAAATACAAATACTGAATTGTTATATATTGCTCGTTGTACGTGTTATACGTATTGTGTCTAATTCATTTTTGTTCTTTATATTCTTTGTTCCATTTGAAAAGATCAGCAGTTTATGGTGGGATACGTCTTCATCATAAACTGGTGATATCGTGTCACTTTCACAACCGATCATCAGTACGAATGAATCAGAAAGAATATGTTATCTTGCCATTTTCGTTTGTTTCTCTGTCTCCGATCATTAAATTCAATAATTCCATAGGCTTTAGTTCAGTTGGCATGATAAATAAGATTTCTTTGCAAGACTACCTCTCGATGTAGTCAATGTACTGTACAGTACAACTATTCGAAGATTTACTCACACTTCTGAAGATTTTGCAGCATTTTTAATCAAGTTATTGTAAATAAGTTATAAATATATTTATATTAACTAATTAAAAATGCTACATAATCGTTAACTATTTCTCTATCATATACATTCTATCATTGGATATTTAGCTCCGTGACTTACTTTCTATTTTGTTTTTGTAAGAATTATGAATTACCAATTTCCTATCTTACTTGTTAGAAATGTTATGTAGGTCGAAATATAAAAGAAATTTTGAGTAATTTTCGTTTACCAGTTTTGCTTGCAATTTTAGGGATAGGCAGAGCCGAAGACGATCTCGATCCACGTTTCAGTTTTGCTCCACCATCGTTTACTACGTTTGCTACTACGGCGTAACGACCATTTCCATTAAAATGCGTAAAATAAGCCGAATAAATCCCATCGTTTTGCAAAACATCAGCACCTGTAAATTTCAATCGTTATATAAAAATTACAAAATGATTTCTAATTTAAAAAAAAAAAAAACCCGACGAAATGTTACCAGCGCCGCTGTCTTTTAATACAATATCGACAGATTTTCCCATGGGTCTCTCAACCGTAGCAATAACTTTTGCATTAACGACCGCATTGTAACCTTTTTTAACTTCGGCATAAACTTTTGCGTGAGCCGGAAACTCCAATTGGAAATCGCTCAGCCAGGATCTGACTCGTATAGGTTGATCGCGAATGTCTTTCGGTTCGGACGTCAAAGACATGGAAATAGTAATAGGCAAATGGAATTGCGTTCTATGGAATCGTATAGTCCACTGTCCACTCTGTAAAGTCCATATTTGTTTATATTCATCTATTAAAAAATGAATAAACGGCAATATATTTTTTTTACCTGTGCATTTGGAATGGTAACTTGAATTCGTTTCCTCACGTTCATATCTATACTAAATTCCGGACTCGATTTGTCGTATAATTTATTGTTCGGATCGTATATCTGCATGTCGAATCCGTTGATGACCGTACTCAAGAAAGTAAATATTGTATTTTTTCCTAATTCTTTGTCTATCCAGATTCTTCTTTCTTGATAAGTTTCGTTCCTTTCCATAAAATATATCATTTCGTCTACAATCTAGAAAAGAAAACATATGAATTAGTGTCTTTCTTTGTAATCTTTTATGGAAAAATTTATAAAAAATTTTAACAGCGCATTTCTTTAACTAATCTTGTTCAGTTTTACCTCTGATATTTGAATATAATAGCAACATATTCTCGCAGACAGAATTTCTAACTTCAAATAAAACAAGTTGTCTTCAATAAATTTGCTTAGAGAAATGAGAACGTGTAAAAGATTGTAGTTTCATCACAACAAATATATATTTATCTGAAATTCAGGCTTGAATACGAATCTCTCGGATAACTGTCATGCATTGTAATCATTTTAGATTATGCCCTTTGTCTGTGCATAAAGCATACATGGGCACAAGCAACACGACAGCGTACACGAGCATCCTCCGTGTTATAGTGTTGCTTGCCTATCATATCGCTAGCCTCTTCTCGACCAGCATCGTATTTACAAAAACGGTGTCAAAACGACTATCAAATTTTCACCGTCGTTTATGGATGTTGCATTAAAACTTTCTTTAGGCTAATTAATATCTAAATTATGACAATTTTAAAAAGAGGTTAATTGGGAGAATTTTAGTAATGTTTCTACCCATTCTTTGCAATAACATTCTCATAAGCAATCGCCAAACGGTAGCAGCAACGAAACTAATTTAGTCGCCGCTTCCTACTCGAGCTAAATCGACACTGATACGCCGTAAGTGTTCACGGCAATTATAGTGACTGTTAGAAACAATGAACTTTATTCAAGTACACTCGGAAACAGTTACATTACATGTTAAATCCGATAATACAGTTTAATAGTAAGATTTATGTATTGAAATTTAAGTTATTTGAATTTCTCGCCTCTTTAGAAAAAGGTTTAAAATAAATTCTATTTAACTGAAGATGTATTAAATGTACTGTATTTGAAGATGAAAGTGTTTCTGCGTTGTATTGTCAAAATGCGCATTTGCTGGGAAAGATTTTTTAAAGACGACGGCTATTTGAAAAGAGACAAGTCAGAATTAATTCCTTTTTAACACTTCCGAAGCTTAAAAGCCTTACATTAACACTAAAATAAACTTTTTTATTTTATTTACCTTAACCGGTTGTAAGTCTATATCGGCCTGAGAGGTAACCGATTCTAAGAACGCGGCATCCAGATCCGAAGTGGGACGTGTTCCGTTCAGGTCTCCAAAGAAAAATCCTTTTCCTCCCGTTATTTTTGTTAAATTTTCTAATTTATCCGAAGCCATATTGCCGAACGCCACCGTGTTTACGATTACTTTTTCTTTCAGCAGTCTTGGAACTTTCTCTTTAATGAAAGGCACTACGTTTTCTTCTCCGTCGGTTATTAAAATAATCACACCTCCTTCGATACTGTCGTCGGTGTTATTTTTAAGAACCTGCCATGGTATATTTTTATACGTGTTTAATTCTTCACATTTATTCATAGATTTTTGTCTGGACTTACCTCTATTCCTGCCTCGAGAGCTTTGCCGATTGCGGTCGTTCCCCCGTCGTCCTTGTCGGGTAAACTTTTACTTAAGCTGTATCTCGTTTGGTTAGTTACTTTTGTAAGTGGATACAATACTTGAGTGTAAGTGCTAAATTGAATTATGCCCAGGTAGGATCCGTCCGGAATTCTGTCCTCCACGAAACGTGTCGCCGCTTGATGTAACAATTGAATCGGTTGGCCCTGACAGAAAAATTAAGAATTTTAATGTATTTAAATTTACCCAAAGTTAAATATTGTGAAATTTCTTACATTCATACTTCCCGATACATCTAACACCAATACGAATCTTCCCCCTTCCAGATTTCCATGTTTGACTATTCGAAATAAGATTTCGGTAAGCTCTTCCGCTTGTCTGGTTGTCCTGTATATTAAATAAATTGTATATTGTGTATGCAATGACTCCACAGATTGAATAAATTACATATCGTCTATGCGACAAAAATTGTAGAGCTAAATTATTAATTACATACCTATTTTTCTTCTGGAAATCAGGATGCGACGCTACGATATTCCACGTACTTCTGTATTGGCATAATGCATTTTGCCTGGTCGGAGCTCTGACGTTATGGAATCGCTCATCAGTTTTATCGCAGAATCCATCCATCTAACAATATTTGTCAGCAGTATAATATTTTAAAATTAAAAAATAAACAAACTCAATCATAATTCAAGGAATCATCAAATTTTTTTTTTTGTATTTTCAGGCATTTGTAAAGCCTTTTTCGTGCCCATCGTGGGTATCATCGAGCCAAAAGATTAGCCGGTGAGACACTGGACCCGACACATTCGAATCAAACATAATAAAAATTTATAGTTTGACTTGGACTCGAAGCCGGGGTCTTGGCAATCAAAATATTAATGTTATGGATATGATTAATAAGACTTCTATTATTAATGTCAAAATATTGCTAGTAGCATTGAGGGAGGGAAAGAATTTGAAGACTCCTTAAATTGTTTTAACACACAGGATTTTTTTTAATATAAAAGCAGGTCTTAACATACCGTCGGGATAAACGGCATATACATAATAGAAGCCGTGACATCTTGATGGTGCATATCTGGAATAAATATGCAGTCTTTATCGACGTATCCGCCTTCGAGAATATAACAAGGTCCACCATTTTTCGATTCAATCCACCCTTTGATATTTTTGATGCAACTAGTAGGATACATCTAAGAACCAGATACATCTCAGCTTACAGAGAGAATTTACCAAAAAACAAAAAGAAAAATGTAAAATGTCAGAAAAATCAAGAAACCTTTCCGCTGTCTTGATAAAACATAGGAAACCTCGGATCTCCAGGTATGCCGTATTCATCAAATACTCCGTAGCGGAGATGAGCCCATTCGTGGACCAGTTGACGAGCTAAAATGTAAGCAATATTATCGCTATCTGCTTTGAATTAATTATTAATTCTTAATTCTTATAATAGAGCTAATATAATTTTTAAAATTAAATATTTATGAATACTTCAAGTCATACAATTGATCTTCTCTTTCACTTCTGTTATTCGTTGGTACTATTAGAGGACTATTAGAGGTTGTCTATCGTAACGAATAAAACTGATAACGTAATCCATTGTGCCGAGACGATTTTAATTTACATTTCTCAATACTAAATGTATGTATTTTTAGCAACAAAATTCTTACCGGGAGGACCGTACGCATCTTCTATTTCGCCATTCTCGTTTTTCACGAATCTCGGCGTCAGGTGAATGTACTGACCGGGTTCTCCACATCCACCCGTCTGTAAGGTATAGGGCGCGTCCCCGTATTCGGGATTTGGTCTGTCGATGCGAACGTGAGCCGAAGAAAAGTAATCCGACAGAACGTTCAGATATTCTCTTTTGTTCGACCAAGACGACGGAATCGCAATGGTAACTTCTTTGAAGTATGTCTGTCCTCTCGTGGCTTTGTGAAGAAAAGCAGAAGCGTCTCTGAAGAGCTCCTATGTAACATTTGAAATTGTTGAATGTAGATTTATTATGTGCAAACCAATTCCATTTATAAATATAATTATTTCTATTTCTCTGAGAGGTTAAAACCGCAAATATTTTATGTCTAATTATTGCATATCACTCCCTTAACTGAATCCATCCCGTGGGCACTAAGAGGGTCTTTTTCCGTATTCATCATAGGTTTGGCCAGATCCAGAATGAGAACGCCGGACGGCAAAGAACAATATGCTAATATCTTCATGAACAAATCATTCACTCAAAACGGAGCACTAAGAGGGCCTTTTAATAAGCTTGACATATTTCAAAGAGTTGATTCTGAGACTTTTTACGTTCGACAATATCAAAACTCTGTCTACTATTTTTTATTCTGTTTTAATATAGCCTACTGCAAAAGTCGATTTAGGAGTCCGAGAATTTAAAGATTTTTGCCAGAGTTCAGAAAGTTGCAACTCTATATTTTAATCATACCACAGTTGAAGAGTTGAAAATTAAGAAGAAAAACAAACATCTAAGAAAAAATGTTCAATTAAGTACTGTATTACTTTTATTATTTATTGAAGAAAATATCGATGTTAAAATCGCCTTTATGGCATTTTCTTTGCAAGATTAACCTAGTAGTAATTATCAAAATCAATATTAAATTTTGGGCGGTGGTGGCCATGTTTTGGAGATTTCGATTAAAAAATTTGCGATTTTAGAAGGAAACTATCCGACAGCTCTGACTCTCTTACAAAGATGCGTTACAAAGGGTTTACTCGTTTAGTGTAATAATACTGGTAATACTGCTGTATCTGTATGTAACGTCATAAGGGGATTGTACTCTATGTAGTAATATCGGTTTGTCAATTACTGTATATCGATATCGTGGACAAAAGCCAATTACGTAGTGGACGAAATTTCAGTGATAAAGTATATAAACCAGATTTTTATTACACCTGTAAAAACAATGTATCTATCGGCAAATCTAAAATATACATCTAAAGCTTTTCGTTTTCTTTCTGATCCATGGCCTTGCTTTACACAATAAATCAAGATTCTTCGCTGGTAGGGCAAACGAAACCAAAACTGAACAGAAAACCAGACAAAATCTAGACGTAATGTGAAAATCTATTATAATTCTTCTATACTTTTGGCGAATGTTTTGAAAATCTGGACATTTTGAGATCACTGAACCCAAAAAATTAAAAAAAGAAAAATGAAAAGAATTCTCTGTATGCGTTTGTTGGCGACCTCAGAATAGTCCCCTTGACTTCCTGCTCGAGTGCCTGGAAAGTCGAGCTAACTTTTTAAAGCAAATTTTTAGATAATAAATTGATTTTTTAAACAATATTTAATAATTATTAAATAAATTTAAAAATACATTTATTAATAAAAATCATTTAGTGTTAATGGAATTTAAATTACCTACAATATGTATACCTGTAGTGGAAGTTCTTTTAGGTAATTCTTACATATATAAATGTAGATATTGTCCTAAAAATACTTGTACTTTGTTGGCATTTAATTTTCCTAGTTGTTTTTAGACTTATCAAAAACATAATAAAAATGATAATTTAAGTTTCAAATACGTTTGTAGATGTTATTTATTTTTTGCATTTTTGCTACTAAAAATAAAACAAAACTTCTAATCTTTTGAAAAATCTCCCTTATTTAAATAAGAGATTTAATATGTAAAGTTTGTCACAATTGTTTTAAGAAATGTCAGGAATTTTGCTAATAAAACTGAGGTTTTAACTAATTTTAACGATTTAAATAGGAGAAAATAGTTACTACAGTAGAACCTCGATTATCCGCCCCCCGATCAACCGACCCCTCGGTTAACCGACCGTCCTAGTCAGCAAATTTCAAATGTCTGCTAGTGATGTGGCGCTACAATATTTGGCTATGTTTTGGCTACTTTAATATTATTTTTACGTGTTTTAGCTGGCAACACTCATTCGACCATGAAAGGGAGCCAGTATTTAAACGAAGCTTAATTTTCTAATTT